GCCCAGGCAGGTACAAGAGAAGTGTCATTAACGCTTATGTCGACCGTGCTCTCAGCCACAGTTCAGGATGGAAGCAAGTCGATGAAAAACTCTGTAGGGTAAGGCAGGTCCTAGTCAACAACGGCTTCTCCAATGGTTTCGTTGAAGACATCATAAGAAGGAAGGTGAAACGCCATGCAACCTCTGAAGAGACAACTAACACAACACCTGTGCCCCCTATTAGACTATTTTACAGGAACTTCTTTTCCACAGCTCATAAAACGGAGGAAAGGGTCCTGAAAGATATTGTTAATAGAAACGTTATCCCTACAGACAAAAATCAGAAGATACAATTGACGATCTACTATAAAACCAAGAAAACGGCCAACCTACTCATGAGAAACTCTCCAGACACAAAGCAAAACGCTTTAAAAGAGACCAATGTCGTCTATGCCTTCAAATGCCCACTTGGGGACTGTAAGCCTCAAAGAATTCAGTATATAGGCAAGACAACAACATCTCTTTCCAGGTGATTAACGATGCATAAGCAACAGGGCTCCATTAAGGAACATAATCTCTTCCCACAACCAGACCATCACCAGAGAAGTCTTAACAAAAAACACGGAAATCATCGATAGATACAGCGATAGCAGGCGGCTTGATATATGCGAGGCACTACACATTAAGAATTCGACACCAGCAATCAACAGCCAATTAATGCACAACTATATTCTACCCACTTCAAGACTCCGCACCAATATAGAAGCATCAAGAAATATGGGCCAATAGGCTCTTTGCAGTTACTTCCATTCTTCCCTTTAACTTACAAAATATTATACCCATTGTTTCGTGTTCTGTCTTGTGTTGAAAGTTTGTTTTCACCTCATCCAAAAATGTTGTAACATATCACCTCACCCAAATGCAGGTATAAAAAAATCGAAGATGTTTAAGCTCTGTTCAGTTATAGTTGTGTGTGTGCAAACTAAAGTCTTTGAAAATGTAATAAGTTTTACAAAACGCGCTCAAGTGTCGCATCAGACTAGAAATAAAAATGAATTTTGGAGAATTGATTTTTCAGTTACCATCAACAGTGAAGAAAAATGTAAGAAAAATAGAGAAAATTCGTGTTAGAATTATTAATCTTACTTTTTCGGTCATATTTAATATGATATGTCTACAGGAAAGACTGCTACCAAAATATACTAATACTGTATATACATATATATATATCAGGGATTTATTGAACAATCAACCACAAAAGGTGATTGTAGTGCTTTTAAAATGCTAAGCTAACCTACAGACATATTTATTTATTTATTTATTTATATATAAACAAGAAGGTACATTGGGATTGTGAGGATACATAGCATAGTAATTACAATCTTGTAAAGCCACTAGTTCGCGCAGCGTTACGGGCAGAAGCGGACATAAATACAACAATTTACGTCTGTCCTACATAAAGAGTGCTTGAGGTGTCTTTTTTACAGTGACAGGAGCAGGAGGATATCAGGAAGCATAACCTTTTACCCCGTGATGACGCAGGGGGTTAAGGCGCGCGTCTGGGGCCTCCCTTCCCGCGGGTCCAGCCCCGTCGCGCGCCAACGAAATTTATCTTCCAACTTATTTGTTTATGTTTTAAATTAATACTTGCGTTTTTTTTAATCTATTGATGAAATAGATCAAGCCCAGCCGGTTCCAACCCGGGCTGGTTGGGTTTTAGGAAAAGCGATATTTTTTCTTGTAACGCTGTTTAGGGGCGGACGTTCGTGCCTTGTAAGTGCACTTCTGTTGCTCTACTGCTCCCTTTCATCAAACTAAGTGGTTCGTAGTTGGATGAATTCTTGTACCAACCCGCAGATCCTGATGTTGCAACTGCTGTGTTGTGGTCACTGTTCAGCCCTTGATGGTGAACGTCTGGCGTTCTCTTACGTTCAAGTACGTTTATTGAGACAATAAAATCCATCTGAGAGGGATAGAGTAGCTTAGGCTAGGTCTACCCTCCTATGCGTTTTCTCAGTCTTCTTCTCCATAAGGATGTAGCTGTTTCGCCTGACCCATCTATGAATCAGCCTGTCTGTGAGGGAGGTCTGTTTTGAAAAAGGGGGTCCTCCGGGGCTACGAACACACAGCCGCACAGACCTGACAATCGCCAGGGCGAGGCTGCGAGAGGAGAAGAATTGTGGTAATCATCAACAGGTAATCGTAAGGAGGCTGGCGACGGTATAAATGACATTGCAGACGAAGCTGCAACTAAGAGAAGTAATGTAGACATTTACATACCACAGAGTCTATCACAGATTAAGAAAGTAATTAGAAACAGAGCAATGCAGGTGATGTACAGTGACCACAACACAGCAGTTGCAACATCAGGATCTGCGGGTTGGTACAAGAATTCAACCAACTACGAACCACTTAGTTTGATGAAAGGGAGCAGTAGAGCAACAGAAGTGCACTTACATCGCATCAGGCTTGGATACCCATGTGCATGGGGAATAGGCTTATAGGTTCCGGAAGATGAGAGGAAATGTCAGCACTGTGGAGAAATGTCCGACAGACCACTGGAACATTATCTAACACCTCGATATAAGCCTAACATCTACTGAATATATATATATACTGGCTGCCTGTCCCCCGACACAATGAACTTAATTAAATTAAATTAATTTGAATTATAAAATCAGCAGACTCCTAGCTATCACTTCTGCTAGGCTTAGACTAGGCTATAAGGACCTCTGGGAATCCTCATTACTCGCTGAAAATGTCAACCGTTTCTACTAAATTATTCCCACACCTCTTACCTGAATTTACCTTGGGCCCAATATATCTCAAGAGGCCTCGACGAGGACAGGGAGCCGGCAGCTTGTTAAAAGTCCCCCCCCCCCTCTAATGCGACGCTATGTGATGGGGTGGAAAGATGTGTGTTTACAGACAACAAATATTAAACAAATGTGTAAATATTTAATTCAAAGTGATTTATCACCAGAAATTATTCTCCTGTCCTGTCCTGCTATCTGGCAGGATATCCTGGAAAATTATAGCTAGATATCTGCTGTTTGCTGACTGTAAGTGGTATACGTGGGTGACTTCCACCGCTGCCCACTGGATGGGGGTTACCTTGAGGTTACCTTGAGGTGCTTCCGGGGCTTAGCGTCCCCGCGGCCCGATCGTCGACCAGGCCTCAGGGGTGGGGGGGTGATGGACATATCATGTGTAATTAACCCGCCACAAATATAAATTGCTTGAGTTTAGAGACCGTTATGTTCCAGTTCTTGAACCCATTGTTGATGTGCATGTTAACCTGTAACTAGCTTATCAAGACTGTAACTTGTTTAACTAAAGGAATTTGGGGACCAATATGCGCCTCTCTAACGTCTCCACCGCCCACAGGGAGGGTATGACGTCCACCACCGCCCACAAGGAGGGCATGACGTCCACCACCACCCACAGGGAGGGCATGACGTCCACCACCGCCCACAGGGAGGGCATGACGTCCACCACCGCCCACAGGGAGGGCATGACGTCCACCACCACCCACAAGGAGGGCATGACGTCCACCACCACCCACAGGGAGGGCATGACGTCCACCACCACCCACAGGGAGGGCATGACGTCCACCACCACCCACAGGGAGGGCATGACGTCCACCACCACCCACAGGGAGGGCATGACGTCCACCACCACCCACAGGGAGGGCATGACGTCCACCACCACCCACAGGGAGGGCATGACGTCCACCACCACCCACAGGGAGGGCATGACGTCCACCACCACCCACAGGGAGGGCATGACGTCCACCACCACCCACAGGGAGGGCATGACGTCCACCACCACCCACAGGGAGGGCATGACGTCCACCACCACCCACAGGGAGGGCATGACGTCCACCACCACCCACAGGGAGGGCATGACGTCCACCACCACCCACAGGGAGGGCATGACGTCCACCACCACCCACAGGGAGGGCATGACGTCCACCACCACCCACAGGGAGGGCATGACGTCCACCACCGCCCACAGGGAGGGCATGACGTCCACCACCGCCCACAGGGAGGGCATGACGTCCACCACCGCCCACAGGGAGGGCATGACGTCCACCACCACCCACAGGGAGGGCATGACGTCCACCACCACCCACAGGGAGGGCATGACGTCCACCACCACCCACAGGGAGGGCATGACGTCCACCACCACCCACAGGGAGGGCATGACGTCCACCACCACCCACAGGGAGGGCATGACGTCCACCACCACCCACAGGGAGGGCATGACGTCCACCACCACCCACAGGGAGGGCATGACGTCCACCACCACCCACAGGGAGGGCATGACGTCCACCACCACCCACAGGGAGGGCATGACGTCCACCACCGCCCACAGGGAGGGCATGACGTCCACCACCGCCCACAGGGAGGGTATGACGTCCACCACCGCCCACAGGGAGGGCATGACGTCCACCACCACCCACAGGGAGGGCATGACGTCCACCACCACCCACAGGGAGGGCATGACGTCCACCACCACCCACAGGGAGGGCATGACGTCCACCACCACCCACAAGGAGGGCATGACGTCAACCACCACCCACAGGGAGGGTATGACGTCCACCACCACCCACAAGGAGGGCATGACGTCCACCACCACCCACAGGGAGGGTATGACGTCCACCACCACCCACAAGGAGGGCATGACGTCAACCACCACCCACAGGGAGGGTATGACGTCCACCACCGCCCACAGGGAGGGTATGACGTCCACCACCACCCACAGGGAGGGTATGACGTCCACCACCACCCACAAGGAGGGCATGACGTCCACCACCACCCACAGGGAGGGTATGACGTCCACCACCACCCACAGGGAGGGTATGACGTCCACCACCGCCCACAGGGAGGGCATGACGTCCACCACCGCCCACAATGAGGGCATAAGATCGTACAACGAAACTACGAAACAGCCGTACCGAGTGACGATTACACAATTCGCTATAAAAACTATTCTCCATGATCCATAGCCCAGATACGTGCACACGACAGGCCCGAACGTTCGCCACGGAGGTCGAACATATTTAATATCCCGCGTCTGTTCACTCCTGGTCAGAACCGTGGCGGTTAAGCACGGAAACGGTTGGCTTCTTAGCTCCTAGCGGAGTTTCCCCTACACCGTCGCCTCCCAGCTCCTAGCAGACTTCCTCAGCCACTACCAGACTCTACAGCATACTTATAGAGGTGAGTGATGGTGGAATATATTCCTAGCAGAACTCTATTGCATATTTAAGCACATGTGTGTGCAGGGTATGTATGTGTTTACTGTATATATGTGTCACAGGTGTTACTGTACATGTGTGTGCCACAGGTGTTACTGTACATGTGTGTCACAGGTGTTACTGTACATGTGTGTGCCACAGGTGTTACTGTACATGTGTGTCACAGGTGTTACTGTACATGTGTGTGCCACAGGTGTTACTGTACATGTGTGTCACAGGTGTTACTGTACATGTGTGTGCCACAGGTGTTACTGTACATGTGTGTCACAGGTGTTACTGTACATGTGTGTGCCACATGTGTTACTGTCCATGTGTGTCACATGTGTTACTGTACATGTATATGTGTGTGCTGTATGCTCCACATATATGTATATTCCATATGTGACACATATGGAATATACATATGTGACGTATGTGTCATACGTACATATGTATATTGTCACATTCGTACGAATATACGTACATATTTGACGTATGTGTCACATACGTCACATGTGACGCATATATTCCAAGTACGTATATCATACATATATGTTCCATGTACGTATGTAACACATACATGTTCCATGCACATATATCATACATATATATTCCATGTACGTATGTAATACATCTTGCATAAAATGCATACTGATAGCCTCAGAAAATAGTTTGCTTGAGTTTACGATCACGGAACTATCAAAGAAATAGTAAAAAATAATCTTTTAAATACACAATTGATTGCGACTACTCGCTTAAACAATATACTAAACACCTGCTGCATTTTTCTAAATGTTCTAAGCAGATGTTTTCTAAATAATATCACTTACTGCATTTTATTTGGGGACCAATCATAGCTTCAGACAATGCAGACGACGAGTTACAATAACGGGGTTGATGATGTGATGACCAGACCATTCATCACTAGATGAGACGACGACGTTTCGGTCCATACTGAACCATTATCGAGTTTTTTTTATTATTATTTTCTACCACAGACGTGGCCAGACATTTACAATGCTAACCAGCATATATATACATATACAACCAGCATATATATACATTTTCTTCTGTCCTCCATGGACAGGGTTAGAACTTTGTTAAACATGTAGTTCAGGGATTTATTGAACAATCAACCACAGAAGGTGATTGTAGCGCTTTTAAAATGCTAGGCTAAGCTACGTACGTAAATACATAAATACACAGATTTACGTATGCCTGTGATGATGGTCCAGGACGGAGCGAAACGTGGCCGTCTGCTCATCTTCTGGTGTGTGTGTGTGCGCTTTGGCCATCATATCATCACCCACGTTACTGTGACTCATCGTGTGTCAGACGGGACATTCCTTACAGTCAGGGGCACAGGAGTGAATTTCTTGACTTCCATTTGTTGCTCCGTCCCGGAGAGAGAGAGAGAGAGCCTTCTACAGGTACCCGAGGGGCTTAGGCTACTGTCGTGGGGTTGTGTTCTGGGGGAGGGTCAGTAATTCGACCCTGGGGAGGGGGTTTGGGGGAAGGACCGTGACATAAGCCCAACATACTGTGTGAAAATCATTCTGAGGCAATGTACCCACTCAACCACGATGGTACAAATGTCAACAAACCCGAAACTCTACTGAATTCACTAGGGGAGGTTCTGGAGGCCCGGAGCCGGAGCCCAACCAGGGTTTAACAGTCGACCCGAGCACCCTCTGACCTACAGTAATGGCCTTCACTACGACACAGTAGTAGTGGACATCATAATGGCCTCGACATGATTTGTATTGATATATCACGTCATTGTGACTTTATTGTGTTGTATTTATTTCTTTATTTTTATTTATTTATTTATTTATATACAAGAAGGTACATTAGGTTTGTGAGAATACATAGCATATGTGTTAACATTCTTGTAAAGCCACTAGTACGCGCAGCGATTCGGGCAGGTCCTTAATCTAACAGATAATTTTAAGTAGGTAAATTCTAGCAGAATTAATAAAATGATAACAGATACATTGTAAGAAAAAAAATGAGATGAGAGAGATTAGTAAGTATATTAAAGCACATTGGTATATTAAAGCTCTGGTTGATTACATTGACAGCTTGATTGGTAATTTAAACAAGATTAATAGGCACCATACAGCAAATTGATAGCACATATAAGAAGACAGCAATGATCACAATGGTAAAATTGTTTGGATTAGGTACATAAAGATTGGAAGATTGAGTGGCACTAGATACAGTGCAAGTTTTAAGCAACAAGGTAGGAAACTATGAAGATGAAATTAGGTACTTTTTAGTTTTGTTTTTGAATGAGGCAAAAGTTGAACAGCTTTTCAATTCACTAGGGAGTGAGTTCCATAGACTGGGTCCCTTTATTTGCATAGAGTGTTTACACAGATTAAGTTTGACTCTGGGGATATCAAAGAGATATTTATTTCTGGTGTGGTGATAATGGGTCCTATTACATCTGTCCAGGGAGAGTTTCAGAGCATGGTTTGCATTTAAGAACAGGGTTTTGTAAATGTAATTGACACAAGATAGTTTGTGGAGTAAGGTTGTATTTAGCATGTTTAGGGAGTTAAACAAGGGGGCTGAGTGTTGTCTGAAAGCAGAATTTGTTATTATTCTGATAGCAGATTTTTGTAGTGTGTGTGTATATAAACTGGCTACCTGTCCCTCGACAAAAGGAATGGCTATTAATAATGTTTATGCTCTCAGTAGGTACAAGCACGTCCTCAGGGTGTACGAATATGTCCCACGTGTGCTCAGGCACGCCCTGCGAGTGTACGAGCACGCCCTACGACTGTACCTATCCGGACTACGAGTATACCAACCCGCCCTACGAGTATACCAACCCGCCCTGCGAGTATACCAACCCGCCCTGCGAGTATACCAACCCGCCCTGCGAGTATACCAACCCGCCCTGCGAGTATACCAACCCGCCCTACGAGTATACCAACCCGCCCTACGAGTATACCAACCCGCCCTGCGAGTATACCAACCCGCCCTGCGAGTATACCAACCCGCCCTGCGAGTATACCAACCCGCCCTGCGAGTATACCAACCCGCCCTGCGAGTATACCAACCCGCCCACCGAGTATACCAACCCGCCCACCGAGTATACCAACCCGCCCTGCGAGTATACCAACCCGCCCTACGAGTATACCAACCCGCCCTACGAGTCTACCAACCCGCCCACCGAGTATACCAACCCGCCCTGCGAGTATACCAACCCGCCCTGCGAGTATACCAACCCGCCCTGCGAGTATACCAACCCGCCCTACGAGTATACCAACCCGCCCTGCGAGTATACCAACCCGCCCTACGAGTCTACCAGCCCACCCTACGAGTGTCCCAGCCCGGACAACACAGTAGACAGCTTGAGCAGCGAGTACTCCAGCATGAGTGTATCCGGGGCCGTGGAGCGCAAGATCAAGAAGAAGGAGAAGAACAGGGAGAATGCCAAAATTTACCGCGACAAACAAAAGAAGTAAGTGTCAGGGGTGGGGGGGGAGGGGGGAGGGGGGGGGGGGGGGGGGGGGAGGGGGGGGGGGGGAGGGGGGAGTTGGGGATTGGGGGGGGGGTAGAAATAGCCTAGGCTACTCTATCCCTTTGAGATTTTTGTCCTTGTCTCCATAAACATACTTGGATAAGTAAGTGTCCATTTCCCTAACACGAACACAAAATAATATATAAAAAGAGTTTGAAAACATTTCTTGAAGTCATGTTTTACAATTAATTGGTTCATGACAAATTTAAACAATATTAAACTTTGCAATATATTTTTACTTTAGTTACTCTTTATATTAAGGTTGCTAAATCCTGAGATTAGCTTCGACATCTCTGTACGATGTTACTTATTTTCGTGTGTGTGTGTGTTGGGTTACTGGAACCAGATCCTTTGTCATTGTCTGTTTGTATAACATTATAATTATTCCAATACACAGTGGAAGCCTCGTGGGGGCAGTAGTACTCCAGGTTGCAAATTTTTGACCATGTTGTGGCGCAGTTGACTAGAGCGCGTCTGGGAACACCCAGTGCATAGGTTCGAGTCCTCATCAAGGCTCTTGTGGATTTGTTCTATATCATTATTAACGTGAAGACACAGTTACAATGGTCTGACTGCCTTCTTAATGACAGTTTGGGCTCCGTCATTGGTTGGTCTAATCACTTGCACTCTGGTGTTTGATCTGGTGTTGGACTTAAGGCCTATTGACCTCTGGAGTGTTATTAAAGCCACCTCAATAGCTAGCTTAATGAACAACCAGCAAGTGTGGTGTTGAGCCTAAGGCCTATCAACCTCTATAGAGTTATTAAGGCCACCACAATAGCTTATTGATCAACCAGTAAGTGTGGTGTGTGTAAGTGAGAATGAATGAGTGAATGAGTGAATGAGGTAATCATGTCTCCCCCAAACTCTTCTCTCTACCATGAACCTGAAGCTCAATTCACATAGCCTTTCCTCATAACTTGATCTCGTAATTCTGGGACTAGTCTGGTGGCATACCTTTGAACCTTCTCCAACTCCAATTAGTCTTATGCTTCACTAGGTTTGGACTCCGTGCTGGAGTGGCATACTCTAGGACTGGTCTGACGTATGTGATACAAAAGGTTCTGAATGATTTCTTACACAACTTTTTGAAGGCAGTTCTGATGCTGGCCATCTTAACATTTGATGCTGAAGATGTCCTTTTGATGTGGGCTTCAAGAGACAGGTTTGTGTAATCCCCACATCTTTCTGTCTACTGATTCTTGGCGGAGTCCTTGCATCAGTTGGTACCTCGTGTTTGGCCTACTGCTCCCTACACCTAGTTTCATTACTTTACATTTGCTCGAGTTTAATTCTAGTAGCCCTTTGCTGGACCATTTTTTAAATTTGTCCAGATCATCTTGTAGCCTCTTGCTGGCTTCCTCTGGTTTAATCCTCCTTATAATTTTTGCATTGTCATTAAACACTGACATGAATGAGCCTATTCCCTTTGGAAGATCATTGACATATGTGATAATCAGGATAGGTCTCAATACTGAATCCTGTGGGACTCCACTGGTGACATCTCGCCACTCTGAGACCTTACCCCTTACAGTGACTCACTGTCTTCTGTTGCTTGTGTACTCCCTTATCTACTAGATTACCTTCACTGTCACTCCTGCCTGCTTCACTAACATCCTGTTATACACCATGGAGAGTGACACGTATAATGGTGAGCTTCAGTCAGGTCCAAAGCCTAAGTTATGTCCAGTTCCTACGAATGCTTCGTTACCTCACCAGCTCATCAACTTCCACCAGTTGATTGACAGTTGAGAGGCGGGACCAAAGAGCCAGAGCTCAACCCCCTGCAAACACAACTTGGCGAGTACTGGTAATCTCAAGTTCCTCCATTAATATCCCATTAAACTCCTCATCTTTCAGTCCTTGAGAATCACACAAACTTAACAATGACTTATACCATCCAACAGAGCCATAACGGACTTAGAAAACGGGATACATCAGCAGACAAGCACCAACAGAAAGGCTCGCTTGGCCCTCAGCAGAATGAAGAATGATACCAAGAAGGATGGTGAAGAGCTGAGAGTTAGGGAGGAAGAGTATCGGTCTCTGAGGCAGGAGAGCACGAACAAGGACACAATCATCAAGAAGAAGCGAACAGATCTTCTGCTATTCACTGAGCGACTCAAGTTGATGTCTCTGCCGGAGGACGACCCGAGCAAGAAGTTTATGGTTGAACTTCTCAGACGCCAGCCACCTGTGTACCCTCTCTAGAGAACACACACACACACACACACACACACACTATTGTATACACAGTATCCAAATATTGTTAACCATGAATACAATGTTGTGTCACTACGTCACAATATCACACTAATAGGTTTATATCCGTATGTCTACCGCCCATATGGTGTAGAAGGCCTTCCTGAGGTGCCACCTTGGCCACATACGTATTTTACTCATTGAGGTAGGATGTGCAGGTTTCCATTTTACCCATGATTGAGGTAGGATATATAGCCTACCCAGTGGCTTCGGCCCCTGTGGAACAACACGCTGCTTTGATGAGGGTAATGGGGGAGGTCCAGTGTGGCCCATCTGAATCAATGGGCTTGTATGGTTAGCCCGCCTAGTTAGACATCGGGTCAAATTAGCACTGCAGGGTTGGTATCCCCTAACAGTTCCTAGGGTAGTATATAAGCCCTTCAGTGGTTATACCCATGTTTACTGTCGTGGGTATAATGGCTATACCCCTAAGGTTGTCATGGGCTCGTGCTTCCCCATTTGCTAGAGTTCATAGTCGGGTCCTCTCGTTGTCCGTAACTCTTACTGCACGCCTCTGCTACGTGTTACAAATCCTGGCGCTAGGCTTGGACAACCCGTCCTCTTAAAAATAACGTCACTTTTGGCTCGTATGCGCGGCGCTATGGCTAAGTTTGGACGTAATTTGAAATGAAATCGACTCACAAAAGTGACGTACTGTCCCGTTTTCTGTTTGAGTCGTCCGGCTTACTCGGCAAGCTTAGAAGAAGCAACTTTCCATTAACGTTTTTCATACTGTTTTGAAACTTTATGAGAATTTCCTGCCCACCTAACCTATCAGAGGACCCTTAACTTACTGTTGTTGAAAAAAAAAATCCCAAATTTATTTTCATTTTCAAATTACGTCCATATTCGGCCATGCTGGCAAACGGCCAAAAGCGACATTATTTTTAAGAGGACAGGTTTCCCTGTGGCAGTGAAGCGCCCGTGTGTTGTGCTTCAGGCCATTCGAAGTCAAAATGTTCGTCTCCCTGGTGGTCATCACTGCAATAAGGGGCAGTGATGACCACCCTATTTGTTCACGTTCTTCAACAACATTATAAGCTTGAACAGGCTAATGAACAAGGCTGAACATCGTCAGAGTTGGTAATGACTACAAACTCCGTCAGAAGGACCCTTCCACGGTCAACAATGTTAACTAAATACTTTGTGTATGTCAAATTGGTATTAAATGTGATTTGTAATATTTTAAATAAATAATAGAACAGCAAAGTATTGTATGCATAAGTGATAATTAAATATAAGTTGCTAAGTATGATAACTAAGACAAGAAACAAGATGTGTTTTTCTTTCCATAATCTCAACTTACACAGCTACTTCTCCCACAATATTAGGCCGTAAGTTACCTTACAAGTTATAGCTCTATATACTCAATTACTGGTAAAACAAATTTCAGATGTGACCTACTGAATTCTAACTAAGACAAACCCTTATTACTTTTGTCTGATTTTTTGTTTATAAAACTCACACAATACAATGTTACAATATAAAGGAAAACAAAATACGTTATAAATGCCTTAGCTATGCAAATATATTTATTGAATTACAAATTTATTAACTTTACCTAAATTTTACGTGTTCATTAACGAAACCTGTATATGTTTCCTGAGTCACGGTGCCTTTGCTTACATTTATTGAACAGTTTTTGAGCTCTGAATCACTTACGTGGTTGATTATAACAACAATAACTTCCAATTGTGTTGTTTCCAGCTCATAAACTGTTTATTAATTATAGACTAAGTTGCAATGGAAAGATGTATAGGTTTCGCAGGTGGACACCAAACGCTTGATGAGTCGTGACCAAGCATGGTGTTAGTATTGTCTTGCCAAGATGCAGGCAAGAGGGGAAATTGAAATTGAAATTGAAATAAGTTGAGGTAAAATACACACAAAGGGATGAGGTAGCTCAAGCTATTCTCACCCCGTTCAGTACATCGTGTTAATACATATATAGAAACACATCACAAACAATAAACATATTGGCAAACATTCTGAGAAATAAACGTATACATTTCCTCCTTTACACAAGCAATATGGTAGGCAAGAAGGGGAACGCTAAAATGACACTCCACCAATACTGCAAGATGGTGACGTCACAGCAAGAGAGAAACGTGATTGGCTTAAAGATTGGGATTTACCGCCAAAAACATGATTTCTGCCCCACGCCGTCACAAGCACTTCTTGTAAGTCAATTGTGTCTGTTCTGTGACGGTAAGGGTCAACGTCGCCACTGGGAAGGTAGAACAGTTATCTGGAACGACCAATACAGGCCAAGTACTTCGTATGTTTTGAGACCGTTAGAGCAGTTGTTTGGATGTTTTAAGCTTGCTAGGACACTGGTCCTGGTCTAGGGTCACTAGCGTTATGTATAACTTCATAAATGGCTGTCACAATGGGTCTCGGTAACGTTGTGAGAACATTCCCATGCAATATTCAGGAAGGTGTTCGTGTGGAAGTTATTAGGGATTTGGTTCACCGGCTTCTCGACAGAGGTCACTACTACTTTGCGTTTGACCAATCAGAGTGAAGGTAATATTGTTTATCTTATCGTTTAGCCAATCACCTTGCCGGCTCAGCTGGAGACCTGACCAATCACGTACGTTTTAAATCAGCTGATGTATGTCAACAAAAAATAAGTTCACATATTCACCGAGTTTGAATCTACTTCTTAGCCAGTACAGTATATAGTTTATTTTATCTCTAAATTATGTTCAGGAATAAAGTATACTTGGTGTTTGGTCAGTGAGCTGCTGCCACGGCCTTAATATAGTTATAATAATAATAATAATTGTATTCACAAGAAGGTACAATGGGTTGGTGTCATTACATAAAATGGGTCTCTTTACATTTTTGCAAAGTCACTAACAAGCATAGCGTTTCGGGCAATTGGGAGGGATGGTACTGTAATGAAGGATTATTTGAATTATTATTTGGATTAATTGAAATATTATTTTAATATGGTAAGAGAAGGCCGGAGTAAATTAATATGAATTTAATTATTAACTTATTTCGTTATAATTTTGATTACAAAGTTGATCCAACTGAGTGGCCATTGGTCAGGTAAGCCTAGAAAATTTCTAATTCTAGGATATATTAGTCATAAACTTCCCGTGTATTAGAAATCTTAAATATTGCATTGCATTTTAATTAATAATTTCACAATAGTTAATCATTCTATACCTTTATTCATAACTAGTTGTATCTTTATTATTGATTTCACAAAATTAAGTGAATTCCTAATTATAGAAGGAAAAAAATACTGTGAAGTAATATTGTCAAATATAATTATGCATTATTCAGTATAATGTCAATGTTTATATGACATTATATTAAATAATGAAAAAAAATATTGCAAACACCAACAATTTTTACAATTGTAACGACATAAGTAGATACACTAATTACAAGTCAAGAAACAATTTATAGTAATATACCTTTCCCAATGATATATAGCTTATTCTGAAGCTTTATTTTTGAATAGCAATACTTGAAAGTGATGTATTGCCGAATATAGAAAATTATTGAGATACATAAAATTAGAAAGATGAGGCTTCCATATATTAAATATCACAATTACTAAATAATGTAAAGTACCCAGCCAGGGGGTATAGTTAACAATCTCAACCACCTAGTTAAGGCTTGTCTTACTATGTGACCATTAGTTCTTAGATGAGACTAACAGCATAGGGGATATCACTTATTAAAATCATTATTCAAACACAATATTTGAATGCAGGAAATATTTAAGGATGTTTGGTTAGACTTTTTAACCTAAAAAGAATTTTATTGGCTTAAGTCTCCAAATATTTAATTTGCCATCACTTATTTAATATGTAGTCTTACGTTTTCTAAAATAATTAACAACTTGAATTAGGGTAAACTATATTAATGGTACAAATTTGGTGTGGAACACCTCATTATCTCATGGCTTCTTTTATTTTACATGAATAGCAGTTATTATTGATTTAATATTAAGTATTTACATAACTTGCTATACTAATTTTGATTTATCCCTTTCATAAAATATATTTTCATTAATTATCTTCATAAAAATACTGGACAAAAAAGGGGGAGGGGACTTTTGACAAGCCGCTGGCTTCCGGTCCTCGTCGAGTCCACTAGAGAGGTGAATTCAGGTAAATATTTAATAAGATTTACACATACACAAAGTATATATTGCTGGGATCACGGGACCCGCCGGTGGAGGTATTTAGTTCCCAGGAAGCCTAAATTATGTAGAGTATTGTGTGTGTGGGGAGGCGCGCGGCCTGGTGCCTCTTAACTGGTGATCTGCGTTTGTAAACTGTTCACTGAACCACGACGTGACCGCCGAGAAGGCGATAAGAACGGCAAGGTTCGTAAGTTCTTGCATAAGTGGTTGATGAATCTTGACCCCTCCCTGGCTGGCTACCCATCAACTGGCAGACGGTCAACCAGGTGGTTGATGAGTCGCTTGGCCGGGTTGTCGTCGTCCAGGCCGCTAGCAATGATCTCCAGATGACCCTTGAGCAGCGCCAGTCTCTCTCTCTTCTCTCTCACCTCCTTCTCCTTGTCTCTCAGCCGTCTAGTCTCCGTCTCCAGCCTCTCCCTTAACTGTTGCATCTTCTGTTGCAGAAGTTGCATATCTGCGCTGGTCCTCAGCAGAGCTTTGCGGCACTGGTTGTTGACGTGCTTCAACGACCTCACATCCTTCTGCAGGTTCTCTATGGACCTGTCAAGACACTAGAGTTAATATAATGAAGGAATATGCAGAATACACATTGATACATTCGAACCAGCTTTTATATCTGTCCACCCAAACGCGTATAACCTGCGCTGGAAACACTCCAGGGATTTCACGTTGATATAGTTATCAGGAAATTCAGTTTCCAAACCAGTATTTACCCAGGTCTTTCCAAAATCTAAATTTATCTAACTAATATCTAATGTTTCGTGTTCTGAAATGACCCTTGTTGACCCCCTTATATCTTGTGAATCATATCATTATGATACCAGCAAAGTTATCGTGGTGTACTTGTATCATGGTAACTTGTTTAAATTCTGAACTAGGGCCCGAGTGTGACGGGCCCCTAACCTGCTTCTACTCTAATTACCTCGTGATCGACTGATTCTTCAGGTTATTGTTGCTTGCGGCCTGCAGGGACACACACATACAGGCATCACACTCTAGTTCTTCATCCACACTGTACAAAACCTTCTGAGCTACGACAATATTTATGATGTTGGTAAAAAAGTATTTTTTTTACGAATGTTAACATTATTGTGTTTTGACATCATGTTAATATTTTGAACATGATGCATCATGTTAATATTTTGTTTTGGCATCATGTTAATATTTTTAACATGATGCATCATGTTAATATTTTGAACATGATGCATCATGTTAATATTTTTAACATAATGCATCATGTTATTAATATTTTGAACATGATGCATCATGTTAATATTTTGAACATGATGCATCATGTTAATATTTTGAACATGATGCATCATGTTGATATTTTGAACATGATGCATCATGTTAATATTTTGAACATGATGCATCATGTTAATATTTTTAACATAATGCATCATGTTATTAATATTTTGAACATGATGCATCATGTTAATATTTTTAACATGATGCATCATGTTAATATTTTGAACATGATGCATCATGTTAATATTTTGAACATGATGCATCATGTTAATATTTTGAACATGATGCCAAAGAGACAAAGAGAAGTGCTTGTGTCATGTGACCTGTCATGACGACTGCCTGTGTCATGTCATGTATCCTAAGAAGTGTATGTTATGTGTTAACGTGTGTCTTATGTGTTAACGTGTGTCCTTGCTACTCGAATGGTCAGCTTTGCTTAGTGAAAGAGAATCGTTAATATCACGTCGGAATTTTACATTAAAATTAATATTTTGTGGTTTTTAAAAAATTTGTTGTAGCAGCAACAAGTTCGAATCTAGAGTTTTAAATAAATTTTTATAGAGGAACTTTCTGAGATACAGGAAGTTACACCGGTTAGTGCTAATAATTATTATGAAGCACGAATCTGGGAATCTTTTTAAATTCTCAGAGTTTGCCAGGGTCATCCCTCAAACACCAGCCAAAGTAACGTTAAAGAAAATGTTGACCTTTTCGATAACGTTAATTTGAAAGCTCAGATAACATATGTTAGATATGTGAACAGATAACAGATAAGAACTGAACAGAAAACATATGTTAAAATATTTAAAATTAACATGTTCTGGCTGGATTCAAAGAAGAGTTTATACACGACCTAATTTTTTCTTTGAAATATTTGATAAAAAGTGCCCTAAATTTTGCAAGTGCACGAGTGTTTAATCAAAGTTTTCTTGGTCACCTTTGGACAAAATTTGCTAAAAAGCTCAATTCATGTTTTGTCGAGATTTTGGGTCTTTCAGGTTTATTTCATTTACATGATTTAATATTTGCTTTATAAGCACTTTAGAGGAGAAATAAATTCACGTCCTTGTTATTTTTATTCTACAGTTACTGGGAAGATGTTATGTATAGAAATGCAGCATTAATGAATGCTTCACTTGTAGCGTAAGTGAAGCATTTTCACGCATTAAAATCGTGTCAAAATACATTGTAATTGTGGAGTTACCCCTCTCAATTCTTAACACCTGTTTCACAAAATTAGTTTTCCTGAGTAGCAAATGTAATTTTGATTTTGAATTGGTGACCAAACGTTTTGGTAAGGATCAGAGATCAGGAAACAGGATGTGGATGAGGTAGGAATGGGTTGAAAAGTGTAGTGGTCTGTCCACCATGGGGAGGAGGAGGGTTGTTGTGTTACTGTAGAGTAGATGATGTGTTGGAGAAGCTGCCGGACTGGTTGGGCAAAGCAGGCTGTTGTGCTCGGCTGTAAATGGACAGAATTCAGGGCTGTTTGAGTTAAGCTGCACCTTACACCTGATGTTGCTGTTCACCTAGCATTAAATAAGCAACTGAGAGTTAAGCAACTGTTGTGCGTTGTATCCAGGTAATGCTTAGTAGTTAGCCAAGGCATTACACACAATGCCGCTAACATTACACACAATGCCGCTAATATTACACACAATGCCGCTAACATTACACACAATGCCGCTAATATTACACACAATGCCGCTAACATTACACACAATGCCGCTAATATTACACACAATGCCGCTAACATTACACACAATGCCGCAACATTACATACAATGCTGCTAACATTACACACAATGCCGCTAACATTACACACAATGCTGCTAACATTACCCACAATGCCGCTAACATTACACACAATGCCGCTAACATTACCCACAATGCCGCTAACATTACACACAATGCCGCTAACATTACCCACAATGCCGCTAACATTACCCACAATGCTGCTAACATTACCCACAATGTCGCTAACATTACACACAATGTCGCTAACATTAAACACAATGCCGCTAACATTACCCACAATGCCGCTAACATTACACACAATGCCGCTAACATTACCCACAATGCTGCTAACATTACCCACAATGCCGCTAACATTACACACAATGTCGCTAACATTAAACACAATGCCGCTAACATTAAACACAATGCCGCTAACATTACACACAATGCCGCTAACATTACCCACAATGCCGCTAACATTAAACACAATGCCGCTAACATTAAACACAATGCCGCTAACATTACACACAATGCCGCTAACATTACCCACAATGCCGCTAACATTACCCACAATGCTGCTAACATTACCCACAATGCTGCTAACATTACCCACAATGTCGCTAACATTACCCACAATGCTGCTAACATTACCCACAATGCCGCTAACATTACACACAATGTCGCTAACATTAAACACAATGCCGCTAACATTACACACAATGCCGCTAACATTACCCACAATGCCGCTAACATTAAACACAATGCCGCTAACATTAAACACAATGCCGCTAACATTACACACAAGGGCATATAGATCCCCTTTGGCAAATCTAACATGCCGAGTGTGTCTGTAACTTGTATTATATATGTATTTTGTTAGAAGAAATAGCAAAATATTGCATAATTACTTAGTAAATATTAATTCCTTATTACAAGTTGAAGGCAATACGTGCCAGGGAGCGCGTGGCTCCCCAACATGGCGACGGTAGAGGCCACACGGAACGTAGCCCCAGCCAGACCTTATAGGAACCACACAAACCAATGACACTTGACAGGTATTCGGATAACGATGATATTTCGCCCTCTGAGGAAGATAAACAAGGCACTTTTTACAGACCGGAAACACTAGTGTGTGCAGGTGCCACAGTGATGCGAACAGCTGGAGGCGCAGCGCGGAAACAAAGCCCCGCGTGACCGCGCGCCCGCGCATCAACTCGCGCACAAACAAGGTAGGAGAAATTTTCCTATTATGAATTATCATAATTTCTTTATACAATTCGGATAGGAGTGTTGTTTGATAATAAGAGGAGAGGGGAGATATCAAGAGAAAGGATCGAACCCGGGGTTCGTCAAAAAAAACGTCAAAACGTCAAAACTTTGCCCGAAACGCTACGCGTACTAGTGGCTGTACAAGAATGTAACAACTCTTGTATATATCTCAAAAAAAAAAAAAAGAAAGCGCCAAGACTGACTGGAAGGGGTCAGGATAAGGATTTGGGATGGGTCTGGGGGATGGAATGGTGCCCAACCACTTGTGGACGGTCGGGGGATTGAACGCTGACCTGCATGAAGCGAAACCGTCGCTCTACCATCCAGCCTAAGTGATTTGATAATAAGAGAACGCAAAGCATCATATACAATACAATTCCCAGAATATGTATAACCAAAACACCTTATATAAGATGGAAAAAAACCAGGAATTTAATCACAGTTGACCACCAGAGCGAGCTAGCCACAAGCACTGAACCAGCGTACAAACCCGACATTAACCACACTTTCCCTCCCCGCCCCCCTACACCCCGGTCGAGGGGTGTAGGGGGCGGGAGGGAGGGACCGAGGGAGCCGGTCGGCCGAGCGGACAGCACGCTGCACTTGTGATCCTGTGGTCCCGGGTTCGATCCTAGGCGCCGGCGAGAAACAATGGGCAGAGTTTCTTTCACCCTATGCCCCTGTTACCTAGCAGTAAAATAGGTACCTGGGTGTTAGTCAGCTGTCACGGGCTGCTTCCTGGGAGTGGAGGCCTGGTCGAGGACCGGGCCGCGGGGACACTAAAGCCCAGAAATCATCTCAAGATAACCTCAAGATAACCCCCAACCCACTCCCTGACACCAAACACACACACTCCACTACTGCAACAGCAAGAAACACAAGCACAACCTAAACTCACTAAATGGCTCCCTAGACCTTCATGACCTGGAACGCAAAAACATCAAAACGTCACTCGCAGAACGGAAACAAATTCTCGACTAATCTAAACCGGACATAGTTTCTTAACCGAGTCATGGCTTACATACTCCCGAACACAATCCCGTTTTCACAACTTTGATATGCTGAGACAGGCCAGAACTGGCCGCTAACATGTTAACATTATGCACACACAAGGCCGCTAACATGACAATGTTGTTAACATTATACACACACAAGGCCGCTAACATGACAATGTTGCTAACATTATACACACACAAGGCCGCTAACATTATACACACACAAGGCCGCTAACATGACAGTGTTGTTAACATTATACACACACAAGGCCGCTAACATTATACACACACAAGGCCGCTAACATTATACACACACAAGGCCGCTAACATGACAGTGTTGTTAACATTATACACACACAAGGCCGCTAACATTATACACACACAAGGCCGCTAACATTATACACACACAAGGCCGCTAACATTATACACACACAAGGCCGCTAACATTATACACACACAAGGCCGCTAACATTATACACACACAAGGCCGCTAACATTATACACACACAAGGCCGCTAACATGACAGTGTTGTTAACATTATACACACACAAGGCCGCTAACATTATACACACACAAGGCCGCTAACATTATACACACACAAGGCCGCTAACATTATACACACACAAGGCCGCTAACATGACAATGTTGCTAACATTATACACACACAAGGCCGCTAACATTATACACACAAGGCCGCTAACATGACAGTGTTGTTAACATTATACACACACAAGGCCGCTAACATTATACACACACAAGGCCGCTAACATTATTCACACACAAGGCCGCTAACATTATACACACACAAGGCCGCTAACATTATACACACACAAGGCCGCTAACATTATACACACACAAGGCCGCTAACATTATACACACACAAGGCCGCTAACATTATACACACACAAGGCCGCTAACATTATACACACACAAGGCCGCTAACATTATACACACACAAGGCCGCTAACATGGCCCTCTACAACGTCACCTTTCTCAATAATCCACTACCAACCTTTTCGTTTTATCCCTGTTCTTTTTGGCATTGATGGCGTTTATTCTTCTCTTCTCCCTCTCTTCATCTTCGAAGGGGCCAGCCTCATATATCTTCACCTTTTTCTTGCGGAATTGTTTGTCTAGCGTGTCGACTTGTGTTTCTTGTTTGGAGTCTATGAGGCTTGGGAGGCCCGGCGCCGCACCTGTTCAAAATTCAAATGTTTATTCAGGTAAAGTATATTCATACAAGGAGTGATACAAACATTGAAGGATTTATAGATAGAGCTAGTACATACAATGCCTAAAGCCACTATTACGCAAAGCGTTTCGGGCAGAAACGCTTGTTCAAATTTGTTGAAACAAATCATTAAAAAAGCTGGTAGCTGTGTTTAGATGCTGGTAGCATCTAAACATTAAGGTATGAAAAAATTGCAAATATGAAAATCCGTGCACTAAAATATATCGAAGGTGAATTCAAAAGGAAACTAAGCTATGGTAACATTGGGTAAGCATATTGCTGTAATTTTGGCCAGTAAATTCCTTTTAATTCAAAGACCTCTTGAAAAGTTGTTATTACTCAGTTGTATATTTTCACCAATATTTTGCAAAAAAATTACAAATTTATTTTTCATTTAGCAAATTTTTAAATTCGTGTTAACTGATAGTCACCCTACATGAAGGTCTCTATAAATTTTCAAAATATGCAAGTGTTAAGGGAAAAAATATTTAGTCCAAGAAATCATTTGTCTTTAGAATTATCGCAAACTGGATTTGTCTGCTCTGGTGATATATATATATATATATATATATATATATATATATATATATATATATAACTGAAAACTCACACCCCAGAAGTGACTCGAACCCATACTCCCACAACTGGTATGTACAGGGACGCCTTAATCCGCTTGACCATCACGACCGGACATAAGGAAGTGATAGCCGAGGCTATTTGAACCACTTCCCCGCCGGCACTCGGATGGTAATCTTGGGCATAGCATTTTATCAAATCACCTCATTCTTTGGGGCACACGTGAGGAACACAAATGCAAACAAGCCTGAATGGTCCCCAGGACTATATACAACTGAAAACTCACACCCCAGAAGTGACTCGAACCCATACTCCCACAACTGGTATGTACAGGGACGCCTTAATCCGCTTAATCCGCGGATTAAGGCGTCCCTGTACATACCAGTTGTGGGAGTATGGGTTCGAGTCACTTCTGGGGTGTGAGTTTTCAGTTGTATATAGTCCTGGGGACCATTCAGGCTTGTTTGCATTTGTGTTCCTCACGTGTGCCCCAAAGAATGAGGTGATTTGATAAAATGCTATGCCCAAGATTACCATCCGAGTGCCGGCGGGGAAGTGGTTCATATAGCCTCGGCTATCACTTCCTTATGTCCGGTCGTGATGGTCAAGCGGATTAAGGCGTCCCTGTACATACCAGTTGTGGGAGTATGGGTTCGAGTCACTTCTGGGGTGTGAGTTTTCAGTTGTATATAGTCCTGGGGACCATTCAGGCTTGTTTGCATATATATATATATATATATATATATATATATATATATATATATATATATATGTCGTACCTAATAGCCAGAACTCACTTCTCAGCCTACTATTCAAGGCCCGATTTGCCTAATAAGCCAAGTTTTCCTGAATTAATATATTTACTATAATTTTTTTCTTATGAAATGATAAAGCAACCCTTTTCTCTATGTATGAGGTCAATTTTTTTTATTGGAGTTAAAATTAACGTAGATATATGACCGAACCTAACCAACCCTACCTAACCTAACCTAACCTATATTTATAGGTAAGGTTAGGTTAGGTAGCCAAAAAAAGCTAGGTTAGGTTAGGTTAGGTAGGTTAGGTAGACGAAAAAACATTAATTCATGAAAACTTGGCTTATTAGGCAAATCGGGCCTTGAATAGTAGGCTGAGAAGTGCGTTCTGGCTATTAGGTACGACATATATATATATATATATATATATATATATATATATATAATGGTGTATACTGGCAGCAGGTTTTCTTTTAAACATGTCTCATTGAATATGACCGCATATTCTGTATTTACTATCTTCTGATTTAGGGCTTCTATCCCTCTAACTATTTTTCTAGCATCAGGGCTTAGCTGAAAGAGGAGTTCTCCAAAACTCATTTTCGTTATTTCAAGGTGAAGAAAAAAGTGAATTACTATAGAATGTATTACACTTATTTATACAATTTGCACAACGTTTCGAACCTCCATGGTTCATTCTCAAGTGAAAAGAAATTACAGAATTCGTTAATTTATACCAGTACGGGGTCAGGTGATAAGCAAGTACAATAAAGGTAAAGACAAGGGGGGATACATAGGGGATAAATAAGGGATAAATAATAGATAAATGGGGGGACGAAGCACATACAAAGATTAATCAGGTGTAATAGGCCTGTTGAGCAGTGTCTAACATAACAGGCTTATTTTCGTTATATTCCGGTCTTGTCCTTACTCTTATGGTGGGTAGAGTAAATAGTTCCGTGATTTGGGTGTTCATGGTAGGTTGTTCTATTCTTATGTGAATTACTTCAAGAATTTGCAATCATCTTACATCTTGGGTTTTGTCTATTATACAGGTATTTTTGTTCAGCATTTCTCTTGTTAGAGTAATGTCATGGGCTTGTCTCATGTGATTCCTGGGGGCACCGGATTGAAGATGACAGGTCAAACGCCTCGTCAGCTTGGTCGACGTCATACCTATGTACTTAGATTGAAGGTTACATCCTTCGTGGGGGCAAGTGTACATGTATACAACGCTTGACTGCTGTAGAGGGTTCTCCGTCGGCTTCGGGCTGTTTTTGATAAGGAGTTCGGAAATCTTCTTGGTTTTGTAGAATATTATCAGGTTTATGTTTTGTTTAGGAGTAGTGCTTTTTACTCCTTTACGAATTATTTCCTTCATTATTCTTTCCTCTTTTTTATGTTCACTGTGCATAGTTGATTTGTAATATAATTTTATTGGAGGTATTGTGGTTTCTGTTCTAGGTTCAGGATTGTACCATCGGCCCAAGTGTCTTCTTATAGCAGTGTTTATTTCTGTGTTGCTATATCCGTTGTTCACCAATACCTGAGTTACTCTTTCAAACTCTTTACTTACATTGCTCCATTCGGAGCAGTGGGTAAGCATCCCGCTCGACGAATATAAGCATTGAGAACACTGGCTTTGTATCTTTGAGGGCACTCACTCCGTCTAAGACTAGAAACCAAGCTAACATCGATTGAAATAAGGGTAAAAAGGATTGCTGCGTGCATGCTGACCAAGAATCCAGTTCACTTAGATATAATTAATCACTGGAGCACTAACTCTGGACAGAAGAGCCTCCAATAGCAACAGGTGGACCCATTGTGCGATAAACACCATCAATACATTCGATATAACAAACACAGTCACTGAGAGGGGTGTCGACGAAATACATGCAGACTTTGTTATGCAAACCCCTTGGGAATCTCTGCCAGCAGACTTTAAGATTATAGCTATTGAAGGAAAAAAAGAACCAGACAAATCCTCATCTGCTACGTAACATTGCACAGATGCATATAGAAGCAAACTTGGCATCCGACAGCTTCACATACTTCGCAGATGGATCAGTAGACCAGCAGGGACAAGAAACCGGAGCTGCAGTTAAAGCAGGAAACTCTGTAAATAGTTGGAGGCTCTCAAATGGGTGTTCGACTTTACACAGAGAGATGCTAGCATTCAAAAGGCTTTGGAACATGCTCTTGCTGAACACCGACAACATGTTATCTTACATACAGATTCGAGACCCGCCATTGAAACCTTGCAACAAGAACACATATGTGATAACATCCATCTGATCACAAATGTCATATCATTAATGCAAACACTCAAACGACAAGGCCGACGGGTACTTATCAACTGGGTGCCAAGTCATGTGGGAATAATAGGAAATGACATTGCAGACGAAGCTGCAAAACTTGCAACTAAGAGAAGAAATGTAGACATTTACATACCACAGAGTCTATCATAGATTAAGAAAGTAATTAGAAACAGAGCAATGCAAAAGATGTTCAGTGACCACAACACAGCAGTTGCAACATCAGGATCTGTGGGTTGGTACAAGAATTCAACCAACTACGAACCACTTAGTTTGATGAAAGGGAACAGTAGAGCAACAGAAGTGCACTTACATCGCATCCGGCTTGGATACCCATGTGCATGGGAAATAGGCTTACAGGTTCCGGAAGATGAGAGGAAATGTCAGCACTGTGGAGAAATGTCCGACAGACCACTGGAACATTATCTAACACAGTGCACAGTTACAACCACAACAGACCACTGAAACATTATCTAACACAGTGCTCAGTTACAAACCCATTAAGATTTCAACTTAGATTCAACAGAGCAGAAGTTGTTGTTAAACACATATGGCAAAATCTTACTGAAGCGACCGTACGAGTCATAAATACTCATACTCCACCCAAGTAAAACAGAAACAAGCAACACTTAGTGGGCCAGCCAGAGGCTTAGGGCCCGCGCAGTGGGCCAGCCAGAGGCTTTGGGCCCGCGCAGGAATATTCATAGAAAGCGTCCATTTTCTTCCCAGAGAAAAAAATAAAAAACTTTCACTATTGTGAAAGTTTAATTTTGTCCTGGAGTGTAGAGCCCATGATAGTGTAGCGTGGCTCTCAGATACTGCCTTACCTGTCATATAATGCCTTATTATCCTCAATACATGCAAAATTTATATCTAAAACAAAAACAACAAAACAAGATTGAAGATAACTGCAGAAGGCCTACTGGCCCAAACGAGGCCGCTCTTATTTATATCCACCCAAAAGAACAAATCCACAAGGGCCGTGATGAGGGTTCGAACCTACGCCCTGTATGATCCCAGACGCGCCTTAGTCGATTGCGTCACGACATGGTAAAAAGAATTGCAACCGGGAGTGCTACAGCCCCACATGGATCCCGCAGCCTCTCCGGGACACAACCCGTAGTTTTACACAATTCCCCCCATGCACCCGGGCTCTGTCAACAGAGCAGAAGTGTATCCAGCCAAACTCATTCATATATATGTATAACCTATGCTTGAAACAATCAAGGGATCCTACTTCTATTATGTTAGAATGTGTGTCCGTCATTGGAGGCCAGAAGCTTGGGGCTAGTCTCATTAAACTGTGCAGCATTAATAGT